TCTTGGTTCTTAAACATGTCAAACACAAAACTCAACCAAACAACCATTTATGAACGTAAAAACAACCTACATGAACATTCTAGTCTTTAGATATATCTACGGGCTTACCTCGAAGCTTATTGAAGGTTTTAGAAATTTTTCGGCGAAACTTCCGGCGAGATTTGTAGCTTGCTCCGGCGACTTCACACCAAATTGACAACACAACTTTGTTCTCCACACTAACAGCTTTCTCTCAGTGTTTATTTGAAGGAAAATGGTGAAGAAATGGTGAAGTTTGGAGGGGTTTAAATAGGAGGGAGTAATGGAATGAAGACATGGTTGATGACTCCCTCTGCTACTGTTGTGGCGTCTCAGTGGAGGGAGCGGCGATTTCTACGGGCTGCAAACGTAAGTCCCTGATTGGGACTAATTTGGTCCCAGTCGGGGAACACTTTTTGGTCCAACTTTCTCCGAATTGAAATCCGTTTGCACCGTTGGGGTCAGACAGTCAAACTCTACATAATGATATGATTTTCATTATTTATTGACAAACTTTAGAATTTATTTATTTTTGGGTCCCTCTCAGTAATTAATTAATTATAAATTAATTAACTCTGATAGGCCTATTTTTGGGGTGTTACAGGGCCGATACGAAATTTGTTTTGACATCTAATATCAAAATCTGGATAAGTCTCATAGAGATAAATCCAAAATGTTGACTAATTGTGTAATCTTGATTGGGAACCTGTGTCCAGGCCCAAATTAAGAATAAATGAAGAAATTGTTTATGATGTAAACTTTGAAATGATTTATCATGAAAATAAATAATATGAATGGAATGCTAGGACCTTTTTGAGTAAAGGTCAATTAAATCAATTTTGACTCTGTCAAAGTCAACCACCCAAAAATATGATGTCGGAAAAAATATTACAAATAAATATAAAAATTATATCGTTGGATAGAGTTTAAATGTACGATCACAACGGTGCAAACGGATTTCAATTCGGAGAAAGTTGGACCAAAAAGTGTTCCCCGACTGGGACCAAATTAGTCCCAATCAGGGACTTACGTTTAGAATTGTAGAGATAGGCCGTCCGCTCCACTGAGACGCCAAAACAGGAGAATGGAGTCATCACCGTGTCTTCTTCCTCTTCCTTCTCCTATAAAAGACTACCACAACTCCCTCCATTCTTCACCTTTTCTTACAAAGTTTCATTCTATTCTGTTGCTGGGAGTGAGGAGAACGTGGTGGTGCTGTCGTATTGGTGTGAGGTCGCCAGAGGTAAGAGCTATTGTCGCCGGAAGTTTCGCCGGAAAATCTTCAAAACCTCCATTACGCTTCGAGGTAAGCCCGTAGATATATCTAGTGACTAGAATGTTCATATAGATCGTTTCTACGTTCATAAACGGTCGTTTGGTTGAGTTTTGTGTTTGACATGCTTGAAGAACCCAGAATCATAAACCATTAAATTGATGTTAAAACTATGAAAAAATGATGCCAAAATGATCTATGAACCTTGGAGAACATCTCTATATAGTTTCGTTGAAGTTCGATAACTAAAAACCGTATTTCTGAAATTGGACCCGAACGAAGAAGAAGATGAACAGTGGCTGAAAAACCACTGTCTGGATCGATCCCCTGGGAGTAATTTTTCATAGTATGGATCGATCTAGAGGGCTGGATCGATCCCCCGAATTTCTGATCCGAAAATTTGTTTGAAAATGTTATTTTTGAGCTCTAAAATCCTATTTTTGATACCAATTGACTATGATCATTATAAAAATGATTTTTCACATTAAAATAAATATTTTTAACAAATAAAATATTATGTGATGCATGACAGTAAGTTAGGGTGTTAACACCCGAACCTAGGCCGCTAATTGTTATTGATTATTATGTTGATTGGTGATTATGGTAAATTGATTGATAATTATGATGATTAAATCTTAATAAATATTCTGATTAAAAATGATAATTGTGAATGATTAAATCATAATGAATATATTGATGATTGTGAAAATAATATGTATTGTCAAGGGTATCTAGAAGACCTCTAAGACTCATATTAATGTTGATTTGAAAAGTATCTAGAAGAACTCTAAGATATACCCATATTAATGTTGATTTGAAAGGTATCTAGAAGACCTCTAAGATATACCTATTTAAGTTAGGCCTTGCGGGTATGAACCCCGGTGGCTAGGGTTAAAACGTACGTACGGGATCCAAGAACCAAACTTGAGTACCTACTCGTTTGGGGGTACCACCCACCCAACAGTGAACACTACGCTGTCGGTTTTTGGTTGGCCTTAAGTGAAGGTAAGTTTAAGATTTCCAAAACCCTTTTATCNTGAATGATTAAATCATAATGAATATATTGATGATTGTGAAAATAATATGTATTGTCAAGGGTATCTAGAAGACCTCTAAGACTCATATTAATGTTGATTTGAAAAGTATCTAGAAGAACTCTAAGATATACCCATATTAATGTTGATTTGAAAGGTATCTAGAAGACCTCTAAGATATACCTATTTAAGTTAGGCCTTGCGGGTATGAACCCCGGTGGCTAGGGTTAAAACGTACGTACGGGATCCAAGAACCAAACTTGAGTACCTACTCGTTTGGGGGTACCACCCACCCAACAGTGAACACTACGCTGTCGGTTTTTGGTTGGCCTTAAGTGAAGGTAAGTTTAAGATTTCCAAAACCCTTTTATCATAAACTAGGCCTAGCTTAAGGATTATTCGGAGTACTCTGTATACTAGAATATAGTTTAATTAGTTAAACTAGAATTCATTTAAGGGTTACAAATATTAAAATGATTGGCCTTAGACTAAGAATAGTTTAAGGATATTGTTGAATGACAAATGAAGAAGATACATGTTGAACGATTGAATAATGAATGTTGAAAATGGAATATTGATTATTGAATATCTGAACTGAACATTATGTGCATGATATCAAATGATTTGATTGTGAATTGAGATACAATTTATATGGATGTTCGACGCATTAGATATGCTTACTCAGCTTTACCGCTGAGCGTGTAGTATGTTTTATTTGCTACACGTAGGTTAATAGAAAGAATGATGTGACGTGATCCTGGAGGCGGACGGAGGCGAGACTGTCGGAATGGATGTGACGTTTTGAATTAAAGAACACAAATAAATTATGTTTGTAATTATGATTTGTTAAGCTTCCGCAATATTGAAAACTCTGTACTGTTTATATTATGAAAAATATTATTATGATAAATAAAAGTGTTTAAAATGTTTTAAATTTTTACGATTACCAAGTTAATACTTTAGTCCGAAAGGGGCTAGAGACCTGGACGGATTAGGGTGTTACATATATATATATATATATATATATATATATATATATATATATATATATATATATATATATATATATATATATATATTTATTTATTTATTTATTTATTTATTTATTTATTTATTTATTTATTTATGAAACTGTCAAGAAGGCTGAACTTAAAGCTTTAAAGGCACAAGAGGACTATGAAACTAACCTCGGGGACACTCTAAAATGCCTTGCTAATCAAGCCAATGCTGAACTTATAGTGGCTTCAAACAGAGTAACCACCTTTTGGAAACAAAAAGCTCACCTAAAGTGGATGGAACTTGGTGACCAAAACTCTTCCTTCTTCCACTCCTATGTGAAGGGTAGGAGAGCTAGTCTGAAGATTAGATCAGTTTCAACAGTTGGGGGCAAAAAACTCTTCCAGGAGGAGGATATAAAAAATGAGGCTATGGAATACTTCAAAAATGTTTTCAGCAGTATCACTTTAGTGGATGACCAGGAGATTCTTAGACATATTCCTACACTAATCACCACTGAGAACAATAACTCCATGACACTAATTCCTGAGAAAGAAGAAATCAAAAAGGTAGTGTGGGAGCTTAATCCTAATGCAGTATCAGGTCCAGATGGATACAATGGAGTTTTCTTCAGAACTTGTTGGAGCATTATTAAGGAGGATGTGGTGAAAGCTTCTCAAGAATTCTTTATGGGTCTCCCTATCCCTAAATCTTTTGGATCAACTTTCATCACCCTAATCCCTAAAAAGGACTGCAAGAGCTTCTCTGACTTCAGGCCCATCTCACTCTCAACTTTTATGAGCAAGATAAACTCCAGGATACTCACTTCCAGAATCCAGCCACTTCTCTCTAAGATTATATCTAAAGAGCAGGCAGGTTTCCAAAAAGGTATGGGTGTTGAAGACCAGGTTCTTATGACTTGTGAAATGGCTCACAGTTTGGACACGAAATGTGAGAGTGGTAATGCTATCATCAAGTTAGATATGGTTAAAGCCTTCGACAGAATTGAATGGGGCTTTCTCAAAAGAGTCCTTGGAGGGTTTGGATTCTCAAATAGGGTGCAACACCTGCTCACTGCTAACATGGAAGCCACCTACATCTCCATCCTCCTAAATGGTAGCCCCACTGGCTTTTTCAAAATGAAGAGAGGGGTGAAACAGGGGGATCCTCTCTCTCCACTTCTTTTCATAATAGCCGGTGAGGTTTTTTCTAGGATGATCAAGACAAGCATGGAAAGCAAATTTCTGAAAAGCTATAATTCTGGCAGGAGTCTTTTGGTGAGCCACTTAGCCTATGATGATGATCTTATTATCTTCCTAAGGGGTGGAGTCAGAAACCTCCTTAAATTCAAAGCCATTCTTGATCAATACTCTAAAGGGTCTGGCCAAGAAGTTAATTTCAGTAAATCCAGATTCTACGTTGGAAGTAAGTTACCAGCTAATATCATAGCCAGAATGGAGAGAGCCCTAGGTATGGCACATGGCAAATTACCATTCCAATATCTTGGAGTTCCCATATGCAAGGGTAAGCTTAATAAAAGACATTGCCAGGAACTCCTAAGTCACTTTGACAAATACATCAGCAGCTGGTATACTAAATTACTCAATCCTATGGGAAGACTTATCCTAATCAAACATGCCCTCTTCTCCATACCTTTACACTTCTTGGCAGTGCATACTTTGTCTATTTCTATTATCAACCAAGTTCACAGAAGCATGGCAAACTTCCTCTGGGGCTATAACAATGGCTCCCCTAAACATCACTGGAAAAATTGGGACTCCTTATGTTGCCCCAAGGAGGAAGGAGGATTGGGTTTGAGGAATCTCAGAGATCTGCACAAAGCTTACTCCCTAAGACTGTGGTGTAAAGCACATAATGATGACAATATTTGGGCCAATTACATCAGAGACAAATACATGAGGAGGAACTCATTCCATGAAAAAATTGTGAATTCCCCAAATTGGAAAAGG